GGGGAGGGGAGGGGAGGGGAGGAGGAAATACCTTGAGCAATTTTGGCTATTTCCTTGGCGAAACCTGTGGAGATGAACTTGTTTTCTGTATCGATTACCAAGAGAGACATTCCGGACTTGAAGATCTTGCCAGCAATGTCGATGATTTCATCCTACAGGGCACCATGCATGAAGCCAAACGACAGTTTCAAAAAACAAAGGCATGAAACAAAAGAAATCAACAAAAAGCCCACAAACCAAATTTAAAGCAATTTTTTCTTCAGGCTTATGTCTGCCTGTCGGTCTATCTGCCTGTCTGCCTGCTTGTCTGTCTCTCTGTATGTCCACGTATGTATGTATGCATGTATGTATACATATGTATGTATGTATGTATGCATGTATGCATGTATGCATGTATGCATGTATGTATCCATGCATGCACGTAACATGCATGATGGTATGTATGTCATATACGTATGCATGTAATATATATGTTTGTGCTTTTATGTGTGTACGATGAGTTGTTGAGAATTAGACAAAACAGACTGCGACACTACTGCAGCTGCCAACGTCTAGTGGACTGATTTTTTTTTTTTTTTTTTTTTTTTTTTGCGAGTGGACTGAATATGCCGATGGGAAGTTCGTAAACAGACACGAAAGGTTGCCTTGTTAACGAAAAAATCCAGAAAAAGTTCATAGATAGCCTTCTCAGGTTTCCGAATGCAGAACTAACCCAGGACCAACTGACCTGATTGGATGATCTGCATCTGCATTCTCAGAGGCCCAGGTGCATTTCGACCTTATCGGGTTAATTTGCCCTTCCGAACATGAAAATGTTTACTTATGCCCTTCGCGATTTCGTTTTCTCAGCGAAGGGCCCAAGGTGGATTTCACTTTCGCTTTTGCAGCAATGGGATTTGGAAAAAAATTGATGCAGAGCATGTACCACAGGGAGGTCCAACACAAAACCCACTGCTTTATTCAACAAACGACAGCTTGACATCTGCATGTTCACTCCTCTTTCCACATTCAGATATACATATCCCTCTTTGATAGATAGATAGATAGATAGATAGATAGATAGATAGATAGATAGATAGATAGATAGAGAGAGAGAGAGAGAGAGAGAGAGAGAGA